GCAAAAATATACCAAAGCTTCCTTGGTAGCTTCGGAAAAGGTCAGGTAGGTCACTTTGCAGGATGTTACTGAGACAGACACATGTGCTGGCTGTTGCCTAATGTAATGTGCTGAGTAGAACGAGGTCTGGGATAAGCAGAAACATTATTTGCCAGGGACAGGGGAATGCTCTTCCTCTCCGCACTGCTAGGAAAGAAGACTGTGAGCCAGTTCACTGACAAACCGGAGGGGGGCATTATTGAGATGGTGGAGAATCATGGCCCAGGTGGAAACAATTGATCATGCCGCCCAGATGTTTAAAACCAGCTGCAGAAGTGGACCTAGGAAAGAGTTAAACCTGCTGCCAGCAACATCCTTCCCCGAAATATCACCTGAAACCAATAAGGCCTAATTTAGGACTTCTGAAAGGGGGTGGGGTGCAGTTGATTTCCTTCTACTTTTGAGGGCTGACATCTTAATAAGAGTCAAGAGTGCAGAAAGAATGCCCCAGGGAATGTTTTCTCCCCCTTCGCTTTCAAATCAAAACCCAGCCAATTTTCCCTACAGGACAGTGCTGTATATTCTCCTAAAGAATGGGTTTTAATAGACCTTTTGTTTTGTTATCCTGGTGAAACAACAAAGGTTTCAAATGAGATACAGCCATTCAGGTTCATCCAGCCTGTTTAATAGTAACTCATTGGTTTGAGAATCTCATCCAGCTGTTTTATCAAATTTCACCACCTTGGCTGGGGGGTTTGTTCAATGCTCCTACAACACTTTGTGTATAGAAGTGTTCCCTGTTCTCATTTTTTTATCTTCGATGGTGATAAAAGCTGGGCTAGCCCTGTAAAGCCTGGCACCACAGGGGCTCTGCCCTGTCCCACAAGGCTCTATGTTTAGTGCCAGAATAGGTGACATGAGTATGTCAGCTGTTTTAAATTCAGAAACTCGCACTCTAGAAATGGAATAAACAAGGTTAAAGGCTGTGAGGCTCTGGGATCCTGTTACATTATATATTTCAAAGCTACATTTCAAAGTGGAAACCAAATCAATTATTTTCTAAACAAAACACAGGGAATTCAGACATCAAGAACTGTTATTTTTAAATGCTACTAAGCAGAAATTGCACAGAAAATGGTTTTCTAGGCTCCGAAACCCAATTTGTTGTAATGCTGTGTGGTAAGAGTTTTTTATTTCATCTCAAACATACAGATTTGATCTCTTAAGGATAAGACCTGGGTGTGCTGTTAGAGCAGAGCTTTCCGAATCAGAAAGTGGTGAGGACAGTGTGTAGGAATGGCTCCAGAAGAGAGAAACTGAGGACACATGCAGCCTCCAGCTAAATGACTCTCTGCTCTAGACTTCTGTGCAGCCTATTGGAAATGTCAGCACTCTGCTCTGTCGCCTCACTCTCTGCCCACTCTGTCTGTGGCTGAGCAAGCCCGACAGCACAGTTCTTCCTGAAGGCTCTGCTGTAGGTTGCTCTTTAGACAGTATGCACTTGCCTTCTCACCTCAAGACACCTTCCATTTCTGGCACAGCCTGTAGAGCCAGACCTGCACAGTGGCCATGCAGACAGTGCTGGGAAAGCTTTTCCACACGCTGCTCTTCAAATACAGCCAGATGGTTCTGATTCACAGAAGATATCAAAGGGGCAGGCAGTTAAATGAGAATCGATGGACAGGTAATGGAAATTGCACTGGTGTTCCTCTGTAAACAGGCACCTCCATTTTCAACAAAGAGATCAGAGAGAGGCCATTGAAAAGCTGCCGCTTAGAAGATTTTCAGACACAGAACAGCAGATGAAATGGAAAGCAGGAAATACACAGCCGAAAGGCACTTTACCAGGAAAGAGATTTTATTTTTAGGTGCACTGTCTCTCTCGCAAACTTCAATGAGAACAACTTGTTCTTGGAGCTGAGCACAGTCATCCAGGCTCCATTCTGCAGTGGGATCACTGTGTGGTGAGACTCTCAGCTCATTTTAACAGACCGCAGTGCAGGAACAGTGCTTGGGACAGTCTCAGACACCGCAAAGCCTGTCCTGCTAAACCTCTGCTGGAGCTCTCACAACGTTTCTTCCTTGGACCCTGAAACCTGAGCTAGAGAGGGAGCTCTCGGGGGCTCTGGTGTGTAGTGGTAATGGAGTTTGCGTGCACCGGCTTCATGCGTTCATGTTTACAAGACTGTTTTCCTGGTGAGGTTTGCAGCAGGACTAGGGTGCGCTTTGGAAACAGAGGTTGTGAACACGCAGGTTCTCTGCCTCTGGACGGGACCCCAGTCATTTTCAGGAAGAGACCATGATGCCAATCACAAATGCACGTCTCCCAGATGAACACAGAGCCTGGCTTCAGCCGTCGAATGAATGGGGCGCATTAATGTTGCCTGTGCCAAGCTGCTGGCACAGGTTGTTGTGTAATAATGCCATCACCACACACAAGCTACCTACCTCCCCATTTCCCCTACTGGCCAAATCTTTTGACTGCGTTTTGTACTCCAACTGTTAATATATAACATGTCTGTTCCTATTTCTAGCTTTACAAATGAGAAAATTCCTGAATATGCAAACGTTTAATACATCGAGAATTGAATTGTTTTTAATTATTTATGGGAGAAATACATTGGTCTTTTCTAATTATGCAACAGGGGTTCCTGATCTTAGGAGAAACCGCAAGCAAAAGCCGAAACAAGAATGGAAAACTCGAGTTTTTAGAAGTCTCCACAAAGCAGAACATACTGTAGTCAGTGGGATCTTTATTCAAACTTCATTCATACAGAGGGCAAAAGCTAAGCCTGACTTTAAGAGGCTTGCTACAGTAGATCATAGCGCAGGCTTGTAATATCGCACGGAAAATAAAAGTGTCTTTTAGCCAGATCATTCTTTTTGCTGTTGAAAGTGCTTTCCTGTGCACATTGTGTCATTTCCTGCAAATTGACTCTTGTTGCTACTTAGTCCTCACCTGGGTTTTCACATTCAAAACCCTTTGGTGAAACAATATGAGATTTCTTGTAGCAGTTCACTGGCAGCTTCACTCATTGCAGGCTGGATCAGCTTAGATCTGAGCATGTTCTTTGGGAAGAGTATGAGAGAGTAAAGACTGGACACTCTTTTACTGTTGTCTACTAGGGTGGAGTGGAAAGACACATTGCTTTTTATTTCAATCTGCAGGCGGTAATGAAAGTGCAGCTGAATTGGTTGCTGTCTTCTTTTAGAAATATTTCATGGTGGACTCACTAATTTAGCTGTCTCTTGTGCTGTGTTTCAGTCCATACACAGCACACGCGTTATTAAACTTCTCAATCTCTGCCTAGTGCTCATGTTCTCAAGTTTCAGAGGTCTGTTGGACCAGTACAATAGAGTTCACTGTACATATTCTTACCCCTGCTTTGTGGAAAGATCTGTTTCCTCAGATCTTATGTGGAGTATATGTGTGCTCCTGTTAAGGTTCCAATCATCTCCCACTGGTGTAAATTAATTCTGCACCCCTGCGCTGTGGGATTTGTCAAGTCTTCTGGGTAAACTGAGACTGGGACTCTCTCTGCCCACAAGGGGTGCTCTTCCGGCCTCGTGTGCTTCCCTAAAAGAGAACAAGCGCATAATTTAACGCTGGCTAATGGCCTCTGTTCTGCTGCAACAAATCCTCCGAGACAGTTTCACGTTGCAGTCCCGCTTCGTGCTGCTCTGATGGTTTAGCTACTGCTGCGTCTGGTCCTATGAGACACGCAAGAGGCGGGAGCTCCGCTCTGTCGAATTACAGCTCAGACGGGGGCGCATATTACTCTAGAGTTCTTAGCTGTAATGAAGGAATGATAGAAAATGTAAATCTGAGTTAATTCCTTTTTTTCCTCATTGAACGCTTTCATTTTCTTTTTCAATATCACAGTGCATCCATTACTTAATAATACATAATAAGTCAACTTGGGAAGTCGTCAGGAGTAGAGAAACGGTAGCACAGATATAAGGAAAGGGTTAACACTCATTTTTTTCACATGGTTTATTAGCTGTGCGTAGCTCAATTTGGGAAAGTGTATGTGTCACACTTCAGTATTTTTATCTACCTGAAGAATGGACTAGGCCAAGTCACAGTACTGTAACACAGTTTATTATTTTAAGAGTTGTGCTGACTTTGTAGCTGGGATTCTTCAGATTTTGCTGACTAATTTTTACAGGACGTGGTTATAACGTCTTTCAGTATTTTATATTCCAAAGTGCAGTAGGATAATTAAATGCATCGCCTTTGAACCTGTTTTAATATACGTACGTACAGATCACGAAACCAGCAGATCAGTGTTTTATTATTACTGTTAGTTCAAGCCTGTAAGTGCGGCGGACCATTACCTCACATTACAATGTTCCTGAAATCTCTGCATTACTGCGACAGATGAAGAACTACCAGTGGCGTTTGACTGCCCTCTTGAGTGCGTTTCCTTTACAGAACTGCAGACAGGAAATTATCATATCAAAAATCATTTTTGCGCAGTTTTCGGGTAATTAAGCCTTTGTGCAGCATTTTAAAAGAATCGAAGTTTTGCCGGACATTGTAATAAAAATATTTAATACAGACCTTGGTAAAATCTTCAGACATACTCAATACGCCCTTCTATCTCAGTCTTTAGATATTTCAAATAGCAGACCCTATGCCTATTTCGTTATTATTAATTAATTCAATAGTTAAATTATTAAATTTACTCTTTTAGGTAATATCCTTATTTATAAAAAATATATCAATTTTAGCGTTGTACTCAGTTAATGTTTGGATTCAAGCTCAGTTTTGCTTCTGCCGGGCAAGTTTACATGTCATTATTTTTTTCATATATATTTAATTCATTGTTCTCCCCTCAAGGCACGCGCTCCAAAAAAAAAACTGATTTGGCAGACACTGGGAGTACATTTGACTTTTTGTACTACTTACTTCAAGATCCCAGACTGAGTTTCCTCTCCTTCGCCTGTATATCGTGCATTTTGAGGGTCGCGCAATCTGATCAGCCTCACGTCACGGACACACACGAAGCGGAGAATCTCTGCCTGAGCTTTTTATCTGCTGCTCTGTGCAGCTCGTCCTTCAGATGAGACGTCAAACCGAGATTCAGACTACACTAGTCATTAATGAGCCCGTGGCACTCTCCGTAAGAGTAGGGATGTTAACGATAGTATCCTTGTGTCCTGTCGTGGCCTCCTTAAAAATTCCCATTACTTGGATGTACGAATCAAGCTGTCTTCTCCATATGGTCTGTTAAGTGAGGCTTTTGGGCGGCATGATGGAGCAGTGACACTGTGGCTAAGGAGCTATGTCTGTGTTTGGAAAGTTGCTGGTTCAAGTCCTGGAGCTGGCAGAAGAATCCTACTCTATCAGGCCCTTGAGCAAGGCCCATAACCCCAGCTGCTCCAGGGGTGCTGTATAAATGGCTGACCCTGTGCTCTGACCCCAAGCTTCTTTCTGTGTGCCTCTGTGTCTCATGTAGAGCAAACTAGGGTTTGTGAAAAGACAAATTCCTAATGTGAGAAATTGTATATGGCCAACAACATGTTCTTATCTTATTAACTGGATGCCGTTCAGAAAACTTGAATAATTTAAAAAGTGAGGGCATTAGTTTAAAGTTCTGGTGTGTTTTTAAGGTTTAGTGCCAAAGATTTAGAAACCGAAGCAAAGAACTGTTACAACTGGCAGAATACAACTACCGCTTGCTATAGGATTTACAGAAAATCAGGGTAAAAGTCAGTAGTTTCCACAGCTAGTTTATGAACAACGAGTGTTTAAGAAATTGCTGGGTTATTCTTGCTTTCGTGCTGCACAGAGAAGACCCCAACTGATGAAGATGTCATGTTTGGAACATTAAATAGATCTTTCCTGAATTCTACACATCCATGATGCTGGGCTTGACAAGAATCTGCAAAGGGCTACTTCCATCTATCCATTTTCTAATCACTTAATCCAATTCAGCACCATGGGGGAGCCAGATCCTATCCTGGCAAGTTACAGGCACAAAGTGGGGTACACCCTGGATAGGACACCAGTCCAGCACAGGGCACCTACACACTCACACCAGGGCCAATTTTCCCAGAAGCCAAAGAACCTACCAGCTTGTCATTGGACTGTGGGAGGAAACCGGAGCACCTGGAGGAAACCCACAGGAACACAGGAACACAAGAACATACAAACTCCACACAGACAGCACCCCAAGGCCCCAGCACTGTGAGACAGCAACGCTAACCACTGTGCCACCCTCAAAGGATGTTATCAGTGGATATGTCTTCTGCATAATGTAACAGCCGGATTCAATTATCAAAAATGATCAGTTGTAACAAAATACAGTGACACGTTTGCATTTTAATACAAGGGAAGTAACAGATACAGTAATGAAAACTTTAGTGCCTTAAACTTTGCAAAGTGTAGAAAAAGAGGCATTAACAAAAAATAACGGAAAAACTGTGACATTTCTTCAACATTTTACATTTTCTACTTTACAAACTAGCTAAAACTTGCATACCTCTTGCAGGGTCTGACAGTCTGAACACAATTGGTAAGTTTAGATTAAATGTTATCCCTGTTCTTAGTATCCAGCATATCCTGCTGAATTTTTAACCTATCAAACCAAATCTTGACTAATTTTATGTTGCCAAATATAACATAATGCTTAGGAAAATCAGACCCTGTTAACTAATGATGAAAAACCAACCGTAGGTCAATAATGAAGGTTCAGGTCAACACAGGTGTCAAATCACAATGTAGAAATGAAAAAGCAAAACAGCACGAGTCCCAGGATTACACAAGACAGAAGAGTTTTTCTACGATGATGAAGATTTCTTTTATATGTCTTTTATATGTTACATTCGTGTAACAATAATCTGCATAACAAAAATTGAGAACCCTTTACCATCGTGAAAGATTTTTGCAATATGTTATTTTAAAGTTGAATATTTCAGTATGGAAATATTCTGGTGCTAAGAAACCCAACTGGTGAACACTTTCAAGCAATCTCCATTTCCTCCTCCGGGCTGCGCTGGGAGAAAGGAAGGTACTGTACTATGTTTTTTACTACCTAGCTTTTAAATTTGCTTACAAATAGACTTTACAAAATCACCACCCCAAAACAATATTCCACCAATTCTTTTAACAAAAACAAAACGTTGTTTTGTAGAACAGAGCTGTACACTATACAACTGCTCCTGCTGTCCTAGTAACTGCTTGCAGTGCTCCAAACAACTAACTGAAGTATAACACAAAAATGGTAAATCCTTTCTCTTACTTCAAAATCCTTAACTTGTTGTTTTTTGTTACAGTATGAATCTGATTTTTTTCAAGCGTCATAATACAGCTTGTGATATAGTTTATTGGGGGTGTCTGGAGGACTGTTGTTGTAAAAAACCATCAGAATGGGGATCTTCTTGTTGCTGGCTCAGCTCAGGGTGCTGGTAGGCAAGCAGTCACAAAGGGCTCTTTTTTCTGCCCTCAGGAGCAGGGCTTCTGTCTGCAAAAAAAATGAAAAATAACAGAGCATAATCCTCAAATATACTGACAAAGTCAATCCAGCAAACGTCTTTAGAATGAACAATGCAACAAATCAGATGACACAATCACATGAAAGCTCATTTCACGCCTGAACTGGAGAAATTTCTTTACCCAAAGAGTTGCAGGGGTGTGGAACAAGCTACTGTACCCAGACATGTTGGTGAAGCTGATACCCTGGCTTCTTTCCAAGGAACGGCTGGATGAGATATTTAGATCAATTAGCTACTAATAAACAAGCTACATGAACCTCATCTTACTTGTAACCTTTCTTATGTTCTAGATCTGAATTATAGGGAAGTTAACAGGAGATCTCTTACACCAGGTGAAGGTTCAGTAAACATTTTTAGCCAGTGAAATGACAGCTGTTCTTTTTAGGCAACTGTAGTTAACCTACACAATCAAACAATGCTTTTCCCCCTAGCCTATAGTTTTCCAACTTTTTTTGTTTTGCTAATTTATATCCTTTTGTCATGTTCTTAACAGCACAAATACCCTCCCTTTGGTGATGAGTCCAAAGATAAATCTATTTGTGCCATGTATTCATAATAAGCAATTATGTAAATTTCATTTTAATGTCCCAGCCTCTCTCAAATTGTCCTGGTGAAATGGACTCATGTTATCGCCTGACCTATCTGAGGACTTCTCTGCTCCACTGTGGGGTTTAATGACTAGCAGATGAGTCTCAATTATGCACCATCGTGAAAGCATTAATTTATTTCCCTGTACTATTTTATCAATTATACACTTTGATAAAACAGCAATACAGATGGTTCTGTTTTTGAAAACATTCCCATTAAAGATGAGTAAGTGTTTTTTGGGGCAGTACTTAATTAAATAGTTACCAAATAAAGCCAAACATTGATATACTAGTATGGCTTTCTCATAAAAACACCTTATTTTGTTAAAGCTGTTCAGCTCTGATTTTAATGTTATGATCTGAAACACTGTTTAGGTCTGTTCAGATTCTTATTTTATTTGGAACTGCGCTATCTCTGCATAATTTCAAACTCAATGGATCCCCAAGGCTTTTTTTAGTTATTAAAAAGACATTTGATTCCCTGAGAATTTCATTTTGTACAGCAAACTGCGGGCCAGGACAAGAGAACTATTGTTTCTAAAGGACTGACAGTACTGTAAGAAAGATTTGACAATAAATCATGGTGCAACATCTGAGACGCTCTTTTTTGGCTTTAAATCGTTCTTCTGGGGCTTGAAAAGCAGACAGAATACTGCCACAGTCCAGCATTTGCAGTGAGCAGATGAATGATGATGAATGATTCAATTTATGAGGTCACAGGCTCTGCAAATCAGCTAGATTTTTCCAGTGCGAAAACACTGCTATCACTCAATCCAGCTTCCCACCAATGCAACATGTCAACCACACATAAACCTATAACATAAAGCCCCTTTTCCCTCCTGTCATGTATTTAAATATGCTGTGCTGAGAAAGCCTGTTGGAAAGATAAACGTGTTTTCTTACATACAGTGACATACAGTACCTCAAGGCCCGGAGATGTGAGGTTAGTCATCAACAGAGGGTAACGGGAATGTTGTGTGTAAACAGATGCCTGGATCTTTACGTCTGTTTATGTCAGACGTCTGTAATTGTGTCTAACATTTGTCACATCTGAGATGGTGGCCAGGCAATCATGCATTCCTTTAAACAAGTAGTCCTTCATCTGTACTTACAGTATTTATACTCGGGGCTCGAAAGCATTGCTTTTTTACACACAGTGTGACCTCAGAGCATTCATTGCAAATGATCTCTTCCTCTTTATTAAGTTGGGACACACTGGAAATGAATTTTAAAATTACTGTCAAGGGAAGACTGTGCCACAAATAAAATACTTGTTAGTTATTCTCTCCGTCAGTTTACTGATTGTAGAAATTAGGAGAAATACCCAAAACATACTGTATTTAAAAGGTGTTCTTATTTAGGTATAACATAGGATACGTAACATCTCACCCTTAGGTGGTCAAAAAACAGAAAAAAAAATCATAAGTCATATTCTCTGAAAAACATGCCTAGAACAAGTAGTTTTAATGCTGCAAAAGACAGGACTCACTGTATTTATCAAGAGCATCCTAATTACCGAGCAAAAACAACAACAAAACAAACACATACCCCAGGCACATTAACCCCGGAAAGACAGCAGAGCGGAGCAGTGCTTAGTATTGCTGACTCACGGTGCTGGGGCCCTGGGTTCAATTCCTGGGGGTGCTATCTGTGTGGAGTTTGTATGCTCTCCCCATGTTCACATGGGTTTCCTCCCACCGCTGGAAAAACATGCCCCGGTGTAAGTGCCTGCCCTGTGATGGACTGGCGTCCTGTCCAGAGTGTACCCTGCCTCGTGCCCATTGCTTGCCAGGACAGGCTCTGGCTCCCCCATGACCCAGAATCGGTCTGAAAGCGGACGGTTGGTATTTACCCTGGAGTCCAGGTTGAAGGCTGTCTTCTTTAGGTCCTGCAGCGCCCTCTGCATGAACTCAAAGGCATGGCAATCAACGCAGGGGCGACCTGCCGAGAAAGGAAGCAGAGCACTCAAATTGCAACAGATACAACCCATGCTCTTCACCCAGGAGAGGCTATCTGAAGGAACCGGGCAGTAACGCATCGGGAAAGCAGAAGGTGGGTAAGGTGTAAGCTGTCATCAAAACATCTGGCTTCACCGTCACTCCTTCTCCTCGTTTCAGAGCACTGTGTAATCTGAACGGCACAGCTCCTAAACATCATCCCCCAAGCCGATTCTGCTTTCAAGCTGAGCCTGTCTCTTGGTCAGGCTGGTCTATAATAATACCTCTAACTGAAACATCAGTGCTATTTGGTCCCATTGTCAGTACTAGAACTTATGAGAGGTTACAGGAGGCCATTTGGCCTGTTTGGTAGATAGTAACCAATTAATTGGAGGATCTCATTCAACCATCTCATGAAAGATGTCAGGGTATCAGCTCTGAGGCCGTGCCGGAGGTAGAGGGTTATAAGGAGCTCTGTGAGACCAAGGCAGACAGTAGAAGTAGACGCACCTGGGGGTCACAACCCTGGCCAGAGAAGGTCAGAGGTCAGGACCGAGAAGCAGGAAGATCACCAGACCTGTGCTCGGTATCCTTCACCCATCTTAAGAAATCCTGCTGTAAGCCGGAGTTCGGGTAAACAAGAAATCTATATGAGGCGCAGAAAAACAGCTTTGCAAACCTGTCAGGCTCAGAGGTTGTTTCCTGAGGTAGCAAGTGAAGTTTGGGGGTGAAAGCCAGTGAGGTCGCCCCTACAACAGATGCAATAAATATGAAAAGGTTGAAGACTAACGGTGCTCCTGTGTCCGGAGAGCTACCTATCCCCCTACAGGCTTCTGGCTTCAACAACATGGTTGGGCAACTTGTTCCATACTCCCACCACCCTTTGTGTAAATAAGTGCCTCCTGGTGTCAATCTTGCTTTTATAGTTTACTGCAACACTTGTTCAGATATAGAACAACAATCCCCTATTTAGATGGATCAAAAAAGGAAGACAGAAGAAGTGAAAAAACTGAGGGACTAAACAGACAACAACAATATTAATTTCTTTTTATACAAACTCTAATTGTCTGCAGCATATTTCTTTTTCTTACATCCCTGTGGCAGCGAGAGAGACTCTACATATCTTTCCAACTATAACCAATTGTTCTGCAGAAATATATAGTTGATTTCTAATTCTAGACAGCCATGGGAAAGCAGCTGTTCAGATACCGGGCGGTTGGGGTTTGGATCCGTGAGGCAGGTTTTCGAAGCTGGATGAGAGGAGTTATCACCAGTCTTTTCTGCTGGCTTCTCTACTCTGGGTGTATACGGGTCTGCAATGGATGGCAGTAGTGTCTGGCCTGCAGCCCTCTGTAATCTGGAGTAAGGTATGGGGCGACAGAACTTTCTTTGGCTAAACTGTGGTAAGGCTGAGGCTACACTCACTGCCTCCCAGCAACAGCCACACAAGACTGGTGATCTCAGTGTCACCGTCGATGGTGTCGAAATTAAAAATCCTCGCCCGCAGATATAAACCTTGGCTTTGTTTTGGACTCTGTGTTCCCATTGGAAGCTCACATTGGACGTGTCACACGGGGACATTTTTTCCCCTCTACGTAAACATTGCAGAACTGAGGTCCTTGCTCTTGCCGATGCTAAAAGAAAATGGACATCTACCTTAACTTCATCAAGGTCACACTAACGTAACACCTCACTGACTAGGGCATCGACATATCACCCTGCAGCTCACAGCTGACAACACAGTAACGTTCAGCAGGTACAAGCCTGGTCGGTACCTGGATGGGAGACCTCCTGGGAAAAACTAAGGTTGCTGCTGGAAGAGGTGTTAGTGAGGCCAGCAGGAAGCGCTCACTCTGCGGCCCATGTGGCTCCAAATGCCTCAGTATAGTGACAGGGAAACTATACTGTAAAATAGGCACGTCCTTCGGATGGGACCTAAAGGTGTCGTCTCTCTGCGGTCATTAAAAATCCCGGGACGATTCTCAGAAAGAGTAGGGGTGTAGGTGTCCTGGTCAAATTTCCCATTGGCCCTTATTAATCACGGCCTCCTAATAATCCTCCTCTATGAATTGGCTTCATTACTCTGCTCTCCTCCCCACTGAGAGCTGATGTGTGGGGAGCGTTCTGGCGCACTATGGCTGCCGTCGCATCATCCAGGTGGATGCTGCACACTGGTGCTGGTGGAGGGGATCCCCATTACCTGTAAAGAGCTTTGAGTGGAGTGTCCAAGAAAAGTGCTATGTAAGTGTAACCAATTATTATTATTATAACTTTGTCCTCATTAATATTTGTTGGCTAGTTGTGACATCTGGAGTGGAGTGGAGTTTAAGGTTCTGCTCACATATAAAGGTGATGAATAGTTTAGCTCCAGGGCACCTCAGGTTTATTTAGGTTACTACAGGAGTTCGGTCGAACTCTTAATCTGCTACCTGCTGATCCAGGCTTCCTTACTGTGCTGAAGACCAGGCTGCGCACAGTGGGAGACAGATCTTTCTCACCTGCTGCTCCATGACCGTGGAGCTCCCTGCTCACATAGCTATAGTAACACTCAGCCAAAGAGCTACTAACTTTTTGCTACAAGTCTTGATGATATAATTTAGTTTCTTTGTAGGTTTAGTTGCCTGCTGTGTGATTTTTCTTCCTTCTGTTTTATGTATACTACTGTAAAGAGATTTGTTGGGTTTTTTTTTACATGTGCCTATAAATACGTTTATTATTAGTTATGAATACATCATAATATTCAATACCAATGACAATTATACATTTTGGGATATACTCTGCATGTACAGCTTTTAGTTTTTCTTTTCTACCAGTATATGCCAATTAGAACTGCTCTATGGACGAATATTAAATTGGCAAAACAGTTTAGTAAAACTTAAGGGACGGTGCAGTGGCACAGCACCTGCGGCTGGAAGGTTGCCGGTTCATATCCCGCAGCCGGCAGAGGAATCATATTCTGTTGGGCCCCTGAGCAAGGCCCTTAACCCCAACTGCTCCAGGGGTGCTGTACAGGCTGACCCTGCGCTCTGACCCCCAGCTTCTCTCCCTGTCTGTGTGTCTCATGGAGAGCAAGCTGGGGTATGTGAAAAGACAAATTCCTAATACAGGAAATTGTAATAAGGCCAATAACGTGGTCTTTTAACGGGGGCACTGACAGTGTCCCAGAAAGACGTGGACCTGCAGCGCTAACCGGCGGGGCAGGTCCTTCTGCTCTCGTTCCCATCAAGACAAACCGGGTCACGGACGAGGGCACGGAGGGGAGCACGGAGAGAGGAGGCCGTTGTCAGCCGTGCGGCCGCGCTGGATACTCACTCTCGGCTGGGATGACGGTGCCAGCGTCCTGGTCAGCGCCTGCGGGCTCCCCGCCGACCAGCGCCGAGAGCAGCAGCAGCAGGGCGAGAGCGCAGCCCGCCCGGGGCCCGCACGGAGACATCATGCCGCAGTCCGCCAGCTCACTGCAAGACAGGGCAGCGGGGGAACGGACAGTGAAGACGACGAGACCGCAACCGTAACAAAAAAATAAATAAAAAAATCTAAATTTCTAATATTGCTAACAATGCAAACCATTAAGATCTCTATCATTGTACAATAAAAAAAAAATCAAACACCCTAAATCTGGCAACACGAATGCGATTCATCCCGAAATTAAATGGATAATTACATTTTCACTGTCGTGAGAGTGGGTTGCCATGAATAAAATATCACAGGATCATATTGCTAAACACTGAAATGGATAACATAACCTGCGACGCGAAATTATCTTGACTTTGTTTAAAAGACCGATGCCCAACTCGGTACTTAAATTCTGTTTCGATTTTCGCCATGCATTTAAAAATATTGAATATGATTAAAACAGGTTTAGTTACCAGCCGTCTTTCATAAAGAACGGAACGCCAAGCGGTGGCCGCCTGCCTCTGGCCAGTGTCTGTAGCACTTTTGTGACTGGCGTGACTCTGATCAAATCAGCTCCGTTGCGATCGTCACTAAACGATGGGCGTGGAGTAGTTTGTCCCTCGCCGCGTACCGTACACCGAGATAACCCTGCCACATGACCGCCATGTTTAAATACGGAATGGTGGTCGAGTGTATTTTTCTCCGTTAGTTAAGGATACCCACCGTGCATAAGCGACTTTCTAATAATTTATTTATATATTCTACATATGTACTGAGGCCTGACACAAAGAAATCTGAAAGAACATCTGTTTAATTCCTTAACAACATGAACGTAGGCACGATAGCGTCTATGTGTGTCTAAATTTACTTAAATCCTGCTGGACCATTCCTGTGCTGGGGAAATAACATCTCCCCCTCCTCAGAAAGAAATAAAAAGCTAACCACATTTAACAAAAACGGTGTTAAAGCACACTTGCGTTTCCTCATACCTTCCAGAGACATGCTGTTTATTTAATATGTGTCTCTAAATTGTCCCTGTGTGTTTGTGTGTCTGCAAAAGGCTGCTGCCCCATCCAGAGGTAGTCCTGCCTTATGCCCTTTGCCAGAGATGAGAAGTTTTCTGAAAACGGGTAGATATATCAGTAATAATACCTTGCTCCGAGGTTTATTTGGGCACGAAACATAAGAATCCAGTTGCTGAAAATGTTTTGCAAATGTCTTTTTTTCTTGGTATTAGATATGTTTTCCATGGACTGCTGCCTAAATTCCTTTTTGGGCTTGTTCAGCTTGTCCTGGGTCTGTCCTTAGGGTGAGGCCACTAAGGACATCCAGGTTGCTGCCGCTGTCAGTGGTGCTGGTGGACCAGTAGGTGGCGCTCTTCCATCTGGACCTGAATTTCCACCCCAATACCCCCCACCAAGGTGGCCTGCAGGAATAAGATCACTTTATTGGCCATATACAATTTATTAGCCAAAGACAATTTGTCTTTTTCACAGACCCCAGCTTGCTCTCTATGAGACACACAGACAGGGAGAGAAGCTGGGGGTCAGAGCGCAGGGTCAGCCATTTATACGGCGCCCCTGGAGCTGTTGGGGTTAAGGGCCTTGCTCAGGGGCCCAGCGGAGTAGGATTCCTCTGCCGGCCGCGGGATACGAATGGGCAACCTTCTAGCCACAGGCACAGAGCCTCAGGCACAGAGCCACAGAATACTGTGCTGCAGGCAAAGGTACTGTCCTTCCAATGAGATGTTAAACCAGGGTCCTGATTGGTTGGTCATTTATGATCCTGTGGCTTTGTTTGTGACTGTTACGACTCCAGCATCCTGGCTCAGTTCCACTCTGGCCTCCTCCAAGTCCCGGTTTCTGATGCCTGCTCCAGATCTGCTCTGTAGTGGTGGTGCTGGCAGCTATTAGCAGCAGTGTGGCACAGTTATCAGGGGTCCAGACTTCTTTCTAACTGGAAGTTTGTGGGTTCAAATCCCAGATGAAACATTGCTGTTGTGCCCTTGAGCACATATCTAAAAGATTTGGGATCAAAATGTCAGAAAATACATGTAGATATGATAGATGCTCCTGCCACAGGGGCATGAGGGCACAAGTGCAAACTACAGGGCAGGGCTCGTGAGAATGAGAGTCATTTCTTTACACAGAGGGTGGTGGGAGTGTGGAACAAGCAGCCCAGCCATGTTGTTGAAGCTGATACCCTGGCTGCTTTCAAGACAGACTGAACAAGCCCAGAGGGGAATTTGGGTGCTGTTCTTCAGTGATTAGTGAATGATAAATGTTATACGAGTTTCTGTAACAAGAACTTTTTTTAATACTTTTATTACAGTTTTGTTTGAGGAAGGCATCCCAGGATGCCCTGCTTTATTACTGTTTGGGCCATTAGTATAAATTAATAATAAATTCGATCTTTAAAGATTTTTTTTAAAATATCAATTTCATTTTAATCTACTTGGCTTTACATCTGTCATTTACATTGCCGTCATGCTACAACCCTAGTTTGCAAAGCCGGATAATTCAATAAATCACGCACCGTTTCTTTTACAAAATGATGAACACAGTATTGTAGATTAATTTGGGCTGATGCTTTAATCAACACAGGCCACGGGTTTTGAAAAATGTATAACTACAATCAAGAGATGAAAACAGGAAAGAAAAAATATTAAGATACAAATATACAGATACAGTACCTTTTTACAATCCTACAGGACTATTACATTTTCAGGCTTCACACAGTAAACAGAAAGTAGAGCCCAGATTATACTTTTAATTTAGTTTCTAGGCAATTTTAGAAATCCCGCTCCTGGATTATAGAGACAGATGGGACAACGATAGGTGCTGTACTTCTGTGGTTGATGAAGTGTTTCAGGATCCATAGAAATGGAGTGTTACAGATAAATTTACGATTTAAAAACTGAATTTAATAAAGATGTTTTCTATTGGCTTTCGTTTTCTAATTAGGTAATTTAACATATAGGCGGGTTTCTCTTCTGCAGTTATGTTATTATTTAGTTCACAGTACTGAGCCCTGGAAGTGAAAAATAAAATTAATAAGGACCGTTTTCATCATCAGGGATGGCGCGTCCCCAAGTACAGCTGTGACAGAGGCCATCTTGTGTTACGGCACACCAGAGGCTCATGGGGGTCCTGCCCGTTGTTGTGTGTTTTCTTAGGTAGCCTCTTAAAATGCCCGAACACTATTTGCTCCTTTTTCCAAGATGGCGTCGATGAGGGAGAGCGACACCGGCCTGTGGCTCCACAACAAGCTGGGATCGACGGACGAGCTGTGGGCGCCCTCCAGCATCGCCTCGCTGCTCACGGTTTCTGTCATCGACAACATCCGACTGTGTTTCTCCAGCCTGTCGCCTCCCGTGAAGCTGAAACTGTTGCTCGGGATGCTGCATCTGCCGAGGCGCACAGTGGACGAGGTGGGTCTCTTGTCAGGAGCCGCTCGGAGAGGCAGCGAGTGCCCTGCTCGCTGCTGAAAGGAAAACAGAACCGTCTCGGCCACCTAACAGTTCGGTTTTGGGCGGGAAGTGGCGGGTTTTTAACCCGCACAGCATGCAAGCACGTTTATAACACCCCGTGAGCAGTTTTAAAAGCGTGCGTTACTCGTTTTTAAATTAAAAAAAAAAAACTCTGCACATGACAAGCTGGGGCTCGCCTGCGGTTTGTGTGCACGACTGGGGGGTGCGACTTCATACACTGACTGGAAAAAAACGTGCTCGGTTTTGCCTCACCTTACCGATTCGTAGTCTCGGCGTTATCATCCTGCACAACATGCGCAGACACAGCAGGTCTCCAAGCGGCGTTAAATGAACCGAATTTGCGGCGAAACCGGCTCTTGTGTTTGCAACTCCGGGGCATCACTTGGAGTGCCCGTGCGATCGGGGTTTCTCAACTGTAGTTTTTTTTTTAATAAAAAAGTTACACATCTCTTCTCCCAGCGCCCTTTCTTATTTCGTTTTGTATTTTTTGAAGGGGTCTCGGCGGTACCTGGGCCAGTAACGTTAACTTGACTTTTTGATACAGCAGCTTAGCAGGTGAGGCGGAAAACCGCTACCGAAACTCCGGTGTTGCCTGACAGACTCCCGCTTCGTGCCAGCTTTTAGCAATATACAAGTCATAATGATACAAAATGTGGAGAATGTTTTGTTGTTTATATTCTTGTTTGTAGTTTTTGTGGTTGTTTACGCGTGGAAGCGGTCGGCACGACGCAGCCCCTGACAGCTTTTGTCCAGCGCTGTCGGTTTAGTTAGTTTTGTTTTTAAAGAATTTTTAAATGCAGGATTCTGCAAAGCAGTTGCTGAATTGCATAAGCGAGACCCTTTTCGGTTTGGTACGGTTCCCTGCAGTTTATGTACGGTATCGTTCTGGCTTATGCGTAGTTCTGGACCTATTTAGGTTTGATGATTCATTGGCGATACAAAAAAAATCGTTTGTGATGGGAGTTTGTTTGAAACCAGGAATCTGTCTACCCTCAGTATTGGAGTAAGAAATATGGCGCTTAAAAATAAACGAGAATGCTGTATGGAATATTGCAGCACAGATAAGTTAACAAATGCCCTTTAACGTTAATGTGCAATTCCATTCGTAGGCTTTGGGGGTATTTTGGAAATACATTTTTTGAATGCGTACAGTTAAGAGGGAAATTCCCCTTGGTTTAAGTCACGCACAGGTGCTCAGATGTGAAGTGGTTGCAAGATGTTTTACATATACAGATCCTTCCTGTTTTGTAGTGATAAATTATAAGTAACAAACAAGAAGCAGCAGTTCTGCTCATCTAGCCCATGTGGTCATTTCTAGGTAATTCATCCATAGATGTCATTCATCTGGTTTTTGAAAGAAGCCAGGGTGGTGGCCTCAGCTTGTTCCAGACTCCCGCCACCCTTTGGGTAATGAAACGCCTCCTATTCTCGGTTTCAAACGCACTTCCTCCTCCTTTCCACCCATGTCCTCTAAATTTGTGTTTCGCTTTTCACTCTGAAGAAGTCAGTGCCCTTGGGGATTTGGAATACCTGTATCAGTTTTCCTCGTCATCTTCTCTGTTCGTGAAGGGTGGGTTCTTTCAGCCTGTCAGTGCAGGACAGCCCATGAGTGTATCTAGTTGCTCTTCCCTAGACTGACTGGGAGAGCAGCATGATCTTTTCTAGAATGCGGTGAGCAATATTGTACTCGGGTGTTTTAAATGAGACTTTAATAATGCATCATACAATTTTATCTTAACATTACCTTGACGTCACTTCTAAGCTTTTACCTAAATTATCCCAACATTTAGTTTGCCTTTTTAATTGCTTACCCCCATTGGCTCAGGAGATCTAATTGATGTGTCATCGTAAACACCAAAGTAGCCTCTTCAGGTCTATTTATTTTTATAGTTTGCAGTTTACTAACTGCATGCAATATCCTGCACTTGTCAAAATTAAATGGCATCTGCCAGGTGTTTGCTGAGTTATGAATTTGATCAAATTTTTTAATTTCCTTTGTTTCTTCTGCAGTGTTTGCTAATCCGTTTTTTTTTGCTAATTTAGTATCTTCTGCAAACCTGATTAGTTTTTTGACTGTTCCAGAACATAGATAATTGAGATCAGTTAAGAACAGCAGTAGTCCTAGTACAGATCCCTGCGGTACTCCACTGTTTACATCACTCCAGCAGGTAGTAGATGGCATGTCAATTAGGCAATACATCTTACTCTTAGTGTATTCCAGAGGTCTCCAGCCTTGTCCTGGAGACGCCCAGTCCAGCTAGTCTCATATACTACTTCTTTCTAAAGTTTAGGAAAACCTGAAAGTTGCTTATTAACTAATAAAAGTATTTTTGTTTTCAATTAAGGAAACTCCCATTGTTAAGGGTTGAAGGGCGTTCAGAATTGGGTCAAACGTGATCTCAACTTTGCTTAAATGTATCACCTTCATAGTTGATCAAAGATCAGGTATGAGTCTTGAGTTGAGTTTTGAGAACTTGGCTTAACGGTAACACAAGGAGCCTGGCAGTTGTGGAAACCGCAGGACACTGATGTAATTATATCTGACAGGCTCCACACTGTATCTACAAATCTCGGGTCCTCCTGTCACTGAAAGCCCTATCTAGGTCCATCACTGCAGAGGGATGACAGTGGGCCGTTCAGCTCAGTGGGAGCAGCCTTGTGCAGCACCACAGGTGTCCTGAAGCTCTCAGGGCTGGGCAGGCCATGACCTAGAGCACCACAGAGGCTCAAGGTTCACGTGTTCCAAACCCTCAGAGGCACCGACAGTCCACCGAGTGGACTAGAGTGAAACATGAACCAGAGCGCACAAGAGGGAGCTATGTGGAAGTGCTTTTGAAACTCAGAACAGGAAGCACTTCCTTACGCCAAGTGTTGTGGCGGTGTGGAACAAACTACCCAGCTATGTTTCCTTCAAGAAACAGAGGTTTGGATCAATTAGCTGATGTCTACAAAAAGAACTAGATGGACCCATGTTTGTTTGTCTTGTTTGTAACCCTAAATGTCGTATACAGTATATACATATCTGTTCCTTAAAAGCCCCCAGTGGTGGCAGTGTTGTGTGTGTATCGAAGTCCTCCCTGAAACACAGCTGCTGGGTTGTTCTGTTCAGAGAGAAGGGGGTCGTGCCTTTTCCACTTGTGAGCATTGTTTCTGTACCTGTTGCACCACAGATGTACTCCGTTGTCCTGGGGTTCTGTGTGACAGAATTTTCTTTCTTAACTCTATGTGCGAATTGTATTACTCTCATAAAATTCTTTCTCACTGTCTAGCCTGCACGAGTAGCAGTCATTGTAAATGCGTCATGAAAGTTGTTGCTCGTTATGCCACCATCTGGGCATTGCGTCTGTATCCTTGTGTCTTTCAAAAGTCTATCCCACTTTTCAGTAAAAGTACCGACATGCTGTGGTCATTTTTCTGGCCAGCCAGCCATTATATAACCCTGGAACTATGGGTTATAGCGCACTATGGCTGCTGTTGCATCATCCAGGTGGGGCTGCACACAGGTGGTGGTGGAGGGGAGTCCCCATGACCTCTTTGAGTGGAGTGTCCAGAAAAGCGCTGTATAAATGTAAGGAAGTATTATTTTTCGGCGTGGGGTGATGACGTGGGATTAACGGGGGGGGTCTCTGTGCAGATGAAGGACGCCCTTTCCGAAATCATCCAGCTGGCCACCCTGGACTCAGAGCCCTGGGTGCTGATGGTGGCCGATATCCTGAAGTCCTTCCCAGAGACGGGCTCGCTGAACCTGGATCTGGAGGAGCAGAACCCCAACGTGCAGGACATCCTGGGAGAGCTCCGGGAGAAAGGCAAGAGCCGACGCTGAGTCCCGCCAGCCAGCCAGCCGGCCGGATCCCCCCGAGGGGAGACCGAGCTCCAGCTGGGCCGCGGTCACAATTCAGCAGATGAAGCAGAGTAGTAGCACATTTTCTTCTTCCGCAAATGCCACACCTGCGTGTTACAGTTGACTCGGATAAAGGTGATACATTGACAACTCCTTCATAAAGGCCTGCATCGTCTCAGGGCTGGTTGAACTCTTGTGCATTGTCTTGGCCTTTGCCTCGAGGACAGCTGCTTTGTTGAAACGTAGCTTGGCCGTTGAGGTGGCAGTCACACTTCATGCAGCACTCGCAAAGGATCTTGCGAATGGATGTTAACTTTTTATCTGGGCTCCTGCCTTAATCTCCAGCAAGTGGACGGCAGCAAAACTTGTACCCATATGTCTCAAGTTTTAAGAGCAGGCAGTGCTGTATCGTGAAAGATATATTGCTTATTTGACCTGAAAAAAGACCTTTGCGCCAGCTTGTTCAGCACAGTAAATATTCAGTGTTTTCCCCTGATATTTCTTCAGCAAATAGTCAAGACACTGACGTTGTGCGGCATGGCTGAAGAAAAGATGTGACTGTAGTCTCTGAATGTCCTGTTGTACGAGAGGCTTCTCTCAGGCCCCTCTCGTCTCTCCTTGCCCCAGTGAGCGAATGTGAAGCCTCTGCCATGCTGCCCTTGGAGTGCCAGTACCTGAACAAGAACGCCCTGACCGCCCTGGTGGGGCCCCTCACCCCGCCCGTCAAACACTTCCAGCTCAAGAGGAAGCCCAAGAGCGCCACCCTCAGGGCGGAGCTGCTGCAGAAATGTAAGTGGGTCCCGGGGTTGGTGGAACAAACCACATCACTGTCTAAAACGGGGCTCTCATCCCCGGTTCTGGGGACACCCGGTCCAGTTAGTCGTGTAGGTCTCTCCACAACAGAGGAGTCAAACCCTGGTCCGATAGAGCCACAGTAGGGACGATGTGAGGAGGCAATAAAAAAGCAAATAAAATATTAGGATCTATAGTTAAAAGCGTATATGTTGAAGAATATTCATATTAGAATATAGTGTGTAGTTTTGGTCAACACTTTAATAATAAAATATTAATTTATATTATTCTAATTTAATAAGATTAATTGTTAAACATCAGTCTAGGGAAGAGCAAACATATATTTGAAGGCAGTGTCTTGCACTGTCTGGCTGAAGTAACTGATTAGTTTTAGTCTTGAGCAGAGGAGTCTATGATGGGACATGATACAAGTATTAAAAATCCACAAAGACGCTGACAGTGTCAGCCCAGTAGATCTTCAGGGTGAATGGTAAAACCCAAACTAGGTGACACCAGTGGAAACAATGTTAAAGTGCATTTAAAACTCGGAACAGAAGGCGCTTCTTTACCACTAGGGTGGTGGGAGTATGGAACAGGCTACCTGGCCATGTGGTTGAAGCAGATAACCTGGCACCAGGAATGGTTAGATGAGATCATTGAGTCAGTGCACTACTAAGAGCCAACAGGCTAGATGGGTCAAATGGTCTCTCACTTCTAAGTGTTCCTGTGCTTGTTCCAGGCCCCCACAACGTTTTGTGTAAAGATGTGCCTCCTGTACTCAGTTTTCAAACATCCTCTTAATTTCCATTGTGTCTTCTGTTTTGCGTTTTCCTTTTTATTCTGAAGACATTCACTTGGTTGACTTGCCATCATCAGTACCTTTGAGTACTCTAAATACTTTGGACTGAGTCCCTTTAAACTCCGTGCGTTGTACCTGAAAGGTATTTTGTAGGACTTTATTGCCTGTGGGAAAAACACTTCTCTAGCTGCCATTTCAGTGTTGCGAAGGAGTTAAGAAATGTGAGAAATTTGCAGCATTTGTTTTGTTTATCCTCATCACGGTCAGGTTAGCTGGTGGTAGAGAGGGCTGTGTTACTCTATAACTGTGCTGATAAGAGCAGAACAGTGCTGGTGGAAACTGAGGTGTCATGCAAGAACAGGAAGCCACACTGCATCAAAACGAAAAAACCATCTGTTTGTGTTTCATGCAGAGCAGCAGAGCGTGGTCAGATATGAAAAGTCTTTATGCAGCAGGGGGTCCTATTCTGCAGCCTGTTGAAACAACTAGCATGGGCCCAAAGGCAAAACTCATAAAAGCAAAGCCTGTTGGGATGCCTCCTTTCTCCTTATTTTTTGTATTTCTGTGACTAGTGTGTTTTTTTTTTTGTTTTGATAGTGTGAGATTTGGTTTCACTGTCCTTACTCAAAGGCAGTTAACCCCTTTCACATTTCTAGCCTTCTTCTGAAGCCCCAGTCACGGTTTTCAGCCCCCGTGTATTTCCAGAATGTTGTGGTCGATGCTTTTTATTCCTAAACTTTATTGCATTGCACGGCTAGCGCTAGGAGGTCTTGAGGCGTGATTGATCGAGAACGCAGTGGTGAGAAAATAGAGGACTTTTAAAACCGAGAACAGGAGGTAGTTCTTTACCCCAAGGGTTGTGGGAGTGTGAAACAAGGGAATGTCTTGTTTTCTTTCAAGAGAAGTCTAGATGAGATCCACTGATCCGTTAATGACTAACTATTAAACAGGTTAAAGGGCCTGATTGGCCTCCCCTCGTTTGCAACCCTTATGCAGTTAACATCATTTGAGTCAGTCGTGTTATCCTCTTTGCTTTTTCCCCTTTTTTCAGCCACTGAAACAGCTCAGCAACTTAAGAAGAGTGCTGGAGTGCCTTTTCATGCCAAAGGAAGGGGCTTAGTCAAGAAAATTGACACAACAAGTAAGTTAAAAAATACTCCGGGTACGCATCTCAAAGACTCAGACGTGCACATCTCCTGACAGCTACTGTAAACATATCACTTTGAAGTGAGAAAAAATGTAGATGTGAAATTAAATTCCTGTTATATGCCTGTAAGTTATTCTTGATTGCCATAACCTGCCCTTACTTGCCAGAGGTATTGTTAATTGTTAATGAAATTAGTGACTTGTTGGAATGAGATAATTGTAATCTGCAGATGTTCTAAAGGCCTGTGCTGATACAGTCATTAAGTGTTCTTCACCAGTTTGCCTTAAGCCCTAGGTGGTGCGTGTTCATTCCTGGATGAGGGCCCTGCTAGAGTGTAAGGCTCTGTTTATGTGCCGAGAGCACTGGGATGCATGACAAGTGTCTCTTTCGGGAACCCTGGACCACAGTGTCTGCGGCACGTGATATAATCTTATGCCTGCGCATTGTCAACGTACTGGAAGGTGCTTGGTCCAGGGAACGGGGAGGATGCAGATATTCACAAAGAAAATATTTAATGCCTATATCCAAAGCACCCGGCTTCCAGTTAGTTACAGAATCTTGGACACTTTGCTCTGTGCAGCACGCCAGAATGCCACAATCCCACTACAGCTAAGGAGTTATTTTTTTCTACTAGTCTGATTCTTATCTAGTGTCCTATGCCAAAAGAGAGTTAGACATGCACCATACAAAAGGTCATAACTTCCTGGTGTCATGGCGTGGGGAAGATTGCAAGGATGGAAATAATCAGTCTGGCTTGTGTGGAATGAAATTAGTTTGTAAGTGTTATTGCTTATTATCAGTCATGTGTAGCAGCCACCACCCTTCCTCTCTGTCACTTTCTCTGTTGCTCCTCTGCAGCCCCCCTCAAAGGAATACCAAAAGCCCCCTTCAGGAGCCCTACGAACCCCAGCATGTTCAGCCCAGCCACCAACAGAACGCCCATCCCCCCACCCAGGACCCCCATGCGCAAGGAGAGGGGTGTCAAGGTAAGGGGAGCCAGGGGTCGGTGTATTCGCGTCCTGGGGTCACGTTCTGGGAAGAAGGTTTTGTTTCTTCAACATGCTCGAAGGTGTTGAGAAAGGTAGCTCGGTAGATCTAATCCCAGCCGACAGGGAGAAACAAACCAGAGGGGAGCTGTGGGAAAGTGCATTTCAAACTGAGAACAGGAGGCGCTTCTTTACGCAAAGAGTTGTGGGTTTGTGGGCCAGGCTAACTCAGCCATATTGTTGACGAAAATACCCTGGCTTCTTTCAAGAAATGGATAACATTCCTCTGATCAATTAGCTACTAATTGTTAAATGGGCCAGATCTTCTCACTTGTAACCATTTTTATTTTCTTATTATTGGAAGGGTGTCTCTGTGGAAAAGAAAACTACAAAAACGGAAAAGCTAAATAGTGCAATAGAATGTTTCTTTGTCAGTTGGTGTCACCGATCATTGCTTCTCAATATTAGATGCTTTATGATTGGGTTGGGATTTTGTATGTTGTCCTTACATTGTAAAAACTTAGTTTAAAGCTCAAAATTCCTATTCATCTCTCTTTAATACAGGGTTTCTCACTTTGCGGTTCTTCCGGTCCTCTCCTTTGTACAACTTGCAGCTTAATTGCTATATTAATTCTGATGATCATCAGCTAACTTAATAAAGGGGCTAATTAGTGCAACAATTGAGCTAATGGACTGGACTGGGGGGAGGCTGCAGATTGATTTGTCCTGTTCTAAATGATTTCTTTATTAGAAGTCTGAAATGGTATTGTATTGTTCCTAATGCCACGAACAGGACACAGACGTTTTTCAGATTTCCTGGGTGACCGCTGGAAGAAGTAATAGCCTCTCACGTTCTTTATGTATCTTTTCACACAGCTGCTAGACATCTCGGAGCTGGATATGGTTGGTGCTGGAAGAGAAGCCAAGAGGAGAAGAAAGACGTTAGGTAACTGCGCTCAGTCAGCATTGCCTGTCCCTGATACTCCTGGCTTAGCAGCTGCAATCAGAAGAGATGCTGAATTTTTACATTTGGGAGGATGACCTCCACTACAGTGTTTGATTTGCTTTCTGTTTTTTCTGACAATTAGCAATTAATGAATTATTAATAAGATTATTGGTTAGTAACATGTTAGTAAATTGTCTCTCGGCCATCTTTGACATAGTATTTTCTTTTTACCTTGTCTCCTTTTCTCGGGTGACAGAGGGGTGTTTAAAGAGGCCGGGTACGAGCCTTGAACACGGCTGCTCTGGTTTCCCAAGCTGCTTGTTCGCTCTTGCTCTCTGTGCACAAACAGAACATTGACTCCTCTTTGACCTGAGGCCAGAAAAAGAAGGAGTGACTCTTACCCGAGTCTGTTCGGGCTGTATCCATGATGACCCCCTCAGAGGGCCTGGAAGTTTTTGGCTAAAGCCTGCAGAGCCTCACTGCTGAGCTCTTTAAACTCAGGGCAGCGCAGTTCAGGAAAATACTGCTCTTTTTTCTTTTAGGAAGGACACAATTCCATTAATTCAATTCAGTTAACACGACAATAATGTTTTTAAGAAAGATCAGTAAGGGGTTCAGCTTACAGTTTACTTGAATGAGGCTAAAACCCACAGTCATAACTCTTCCATATAGGGCTGGGCGATATATCAAATATTCATCTAAACCGACGTTAAGAATCTCTCCCCGACTTTATTTTGCTTGTATCGGTATGTTCGGTAAAAACTTTCCCCACTGTGTGCTTTCATGAGCGGTCCCCTTAAAAACTCCAACACCCAGACGTCATATCCAGTCACATGCTTCTGGCTTGTCCAACCTTTGTTCTTCATTCAAAACACAGAGAAGCGTGCCGAGCGCTCATACTGAACCCCAGTCAGGCAGGGATGACTCAAGTACAAATGAATTTGAGCTGGTATCTAAAAAAGATGCAGTGTCGATCGTTTGGTCATATTTTGGCTTCAGCGAACAGGATACTGAACAAAGAGAAGTCATACAATGTTGAGTAGTGTTTATGAAGAAGTTGGGATATTGTTCTTTAGTCTCATTCAAGTAGAGTATTACTAAGGTTCATTGTAATCAATTCTTTTTTTGCTAGAGCTTATAATCTTGTGGCCAGACCATAAAAATGGTCAAAGAAACATATTAAAGATCTGCATCCCATCTGGATTGTGGAGGAGAGAGGAGATGAAAGATTTGTAGGTTTTCTGTTGCTGTGTAAATTATTTTTTCCAAATTGCAATTGCAGTTTAACAACAAAAATCCCAAATTTAAGAATCATTTATGGAATCATTTTCCAGGTTTGCCATGGCTTCGTGATTTGAATGTGAATCGCTGTTCTGGTAGAGAGGAAAGCGCAGCGGTCCTGGAGCAGCTGGGTTCTGGCCCGTTTCCCTTCACTCTGGATTGACAGGTGTTTTTTTGTTGTTGTTGTTCTTGTTGTTGTTGAGCAGAAGCGGAGGCTGGGGAGAAGCCTGCCAAGGAAGAAGCAGTGGTGGAAAACGTGACGCCGGACTACGCGGCGGGCCTGGTGTCCACACAGGTATGGAGACGGCTTTTCTCTCTTAAGTGTGCAGCCTGCACTGGAACTGGTGCCCACCTGCGCCCACTGTGCCCACCTCTCCACCTGTGCCCACCTCTCCCACTGTGCCCACCTGCGCCCACTGTGCCCACCTCACCAACCTCTCCCACTGTGCCCACCTGCGCCCGCCTCTCCCACTGCGCCCGCCTCTCCCACTGTGCCCACCTGCGCCCGCCTCTCCCACTGTGCCCACCTCTCCCACTGCGCCTACGTCTCCCACTGTGCCCACTGTGCCCACCTCTCCCACTGTGCCCACCTGTGCCCACCTCACCCACTGTGCCCAGCTCTCCCACTGTGCCCACCTGTGCCCAGCTCTCCCACT